TTAGGCCTAGGCTTTAAGGGAAAGTGTTTGCTTTACGGTCTGTTTTTGTAGGGTTACAGGTTTAAGTTCTTGTTTTTTGGATGGGGGAGAGAGGGGGTGGGGTGTGGGGGGGAGGGGTGGGTGTCGGGATTTTTCGGTTCAGGGTCGAAGATCTCGGGCCTGTCTGGGTTGTAGAGTTTTAGAAATCTTTGAAGGTCTTGAAACTAATGATTTAGTTTTCAGGGTTTAGGGTTTAGTGGCTGGGACTTAGGGTTTACGGTTTGGTGCATTTGTTCAGGCTTCTACAGTGGGTTCTTCGAATGTCCTCGTTGGGTGAGAACTCCTGAAGAGGAGCCGTCAGAACTGTCTACGTCTACCTCTTGTTGCTTAGGGTCTGTCGCCGGGTGCAATCGATTTAGAACTAATTGCGGGGCCGCAGTAGTAGAAGGAGCAAGTTAATCTGTGATTACCAGCAGAAGTTCTCCTGACACTCCTCAACCCTAATGCTGAGATGATCATACTTTCGGGGCCTGAAGTCTATGAGATTTCCCTAATATGACTATAGTACAGCAGCCGCCAAAACCGCATTCTACTTCCCCTAGGGCCCCCTTTTCTTTGGCGATGCTGGTCGCTGCCAGGCCCTGAACCGGCGATGTTGCTTTGCACATCTGGACTGCTCGGGAGCCTATCTTGTGAACTCGCTCAGCTCGATCCCAGGCAAAACTTAGAGCTCATGTCTCCGGCTCAACATAGCCCAGAAGCCTGATTTAATGTGACCTTTGCAGATCGCATGTCCATTTTCTTGTTTTTGTGTTCTTCTTCCTTCCGTTGACTTTTGCATTTAGTTACCCTTCTTCTTGTTCCTCCTTTCTGTGATTATCGGTAAATGTGCATCTACTCGCATTGCAGTTGGTGTTGGCATCATTCTAGTGGCTACTGCCTGCAGCTGCTCGGCCGAACCAGTCCTACAAAAGCTACTGTCCCCCCCGCTCCTCCTCCTTCTCCACCTCCACCTCCTCCTCCTCCTCCTCCAAATGCTACTGCGGCTGCGACGGCGACACCTCCCGCGGCTGCCACTGCGACTGCTACCGCTACAGCTGCCGCTACCGGTACTGCTGCTGGCACTGCTACTACTACTGCTGCTGCTTCTGCTGCAGCAACAACAACAATTAACACTGCAACAGCAACGACCAAATTCCGCTCAGATCGTCATCTGAAGCAATCGCCTTGCTAAAACAACCAGTTCAAATGCTTTGCAGTGATGCCTGCGATCGTTGAGCTTAACACTACACTCTGAAATCTCAACCCTAAACCCCTGAACCGAAACCCCCTAAACCCTAAACCCGAAACTCTCAACCCTGAACCCATTTAGGGTTTAGGCTTGAGGGTTTGTCAACAGCCCGAAACCTTCGTATCGAGGCTGATCTTACCAGCTGGCGGCTTTTTCGCCACAGCTTGGAGCCTGGTTCTGGGGTTTAGGGCTCAAAGGAGTGTAAGCCATTTACCCTAAACCCCAAACCCTAGACCCTAAACCCCAAGCCCAAAACCCCAAACCCTGAACCCCAAACCCCAAACCCTAAACCCCAAACCCTAAGCCCCAAACCTAAACCCCAAACCCTAAGCCCCAAACCGTAAAACCCAAACCCTAAAGCCCACACCCCAAACCCCAAACCCTAAAGCCCAAACCCCAAACCCTAAACCCTAAACCCCAAACCCTAAAGTTTAGTGTCGGGGTCCAGGCTCCAAGGTTAGACTTCAGGACCCTAAACTCCCGGGGCCCGCAGCTCCAAGCCCTAAATTCGGGCCCCCCCTGAACCGAAGCCCTAAACCTACGTAATACAATCCCCCCTTGGAGTCCTCTCTATGAAAATACGAGAATAGACTTAAAACGCTCTAAACCCGAATTGCAAAGGCCCCTCCATCAAGCCCTAAACTCCGTGGCGTCGGGAGCTTAAGGAGTGATGCCTCATGATTTTCAGGTGGGTAGTTCTCTAAATTAGGGCCCCTGTTAAGGGTCCTTTTCATAAGGGTGCCGAACTATATATTTGGGAGCCAAACAGGAGCCCCTAATTTAGAGAACTACCCAAGTGAAGTTCTAGGTTTCCGAACCTGAGGCTTCTGCGGGAGCTTGAACGATTACTTTAGGGTTTAGGGTTTAGGGGTTCGTTGTTATAGATATTCTGTAATATACCCCAAAACCCTGATGAGCTAGAAAAATTACTTTAGGGTCCAGGGGTTCCTTGTTATAGATATTGCGCAATATACCCCAATACACTATCCCAGGTATATTAGTGGTTTGCGGTTTCGGGCGGAGAGTTCACGGTCCGGTTGGGGTTTGGGTTTTTGTCTTTGGGTTTAGAGTTCAGGGCTCGGGTGAAATGCATCGCCACCTTGCACGTTGACTTGCCCAATCACTGTTTATGCAGGTTCCTGGGTCAGTGGTTTCTTCGGCTAAGCTAAACCCTAAACCCTAAACCCTAAGTTTTGCAGCAATGCGTTCGGAGCCAATTTGTGGTGGAGCTGACTTCGTGGGGAGAGGCGAGGCGGATCGGTGGTTCAGGGTATTTAGCTGCTTGAACCTCGAGATGGCATTCCGTTTTGGGGTTTCGGAACCCTAAACCCTATAAGCCCTAATGAAAACCCTAACAAACAATGTGTTGTCGTATTGGTAGCCGAGACAGCAATCCCTTAAAGCCAAACCTCAAACCCGAAACCCTATACCCTAAACCCTAAACCCTAAGTGAGCTCCTGAATCCTAACCCCTGAGCCTTAACAGCCCCCCCAAAATCCGAAGGAAAGGCTGGAAGCAGAGAGGGATACATACAGAGCCCCGGAACCTCGCGTTTAGCGCTTAGGGTGTCTAAACTTAGGCGTTATGTAGGTCCTAAAAAGCCCAACATGTTAGTTTCAATGAATATGGACCCACATATACAGCATAACAGGCGCTTCTAGTGCTTCTCCGCCGGGAGAAAGGCTCACGCTCTCCGCATGTTTAGGGTTCAGGGCTTAGGGCTCGGGGTTTAAAATTTAGGCGTTGAGGGGTTTAGGGGTTTAGGGTTTTAGGGCTTAGGGGGTATTGCTGCTGCACTTACGTTGTGCCTAGCCCTCTCATACCGTTGATGATATAAATCCTGCATTACCCATAATAAGGAAAATACCATAATTCCCATGGTTTAGGGTCCTTAAAGTAATGCAGGATTTATATCATCAACCGTATCTCATATAGGACTTTCCGAAAATTAGGGGTACCTTATTTTGGGGCCCTTATAATAAGGATCCTACTATTTAGGGTACTATATTAGGGTCCCCTATTTTCGGAAACCCCCCTATGGGGCGGTTTTAGGGCAAGAATAGAGAATCCGGGTCTCAGCCGACCCGAAACTCTCGGCTTCAGGGGTTGAGGGGTTCAGGGTTTGGGGTTTGGGGTTTAGCGGTTTAGGTTTTAGGGTTTAGGGGTTTAGGGTTTAGGGGTATAGGTTTTAGGGGTTTAGGGTTTAGGGTATAGGATTTGGGTAAAAGCCCCGGCCGGGATCTGTGCAGAGAGGTGGGAACAAATATTTCTTGATCGGAAAAGGGTGTGGGAGTACAAGACCATACCCGATTCGCCGAAAAGCCTTCATAGACCCTAAGCACTAGACCCCGCCCTTAAACCCTAAACCCCTCATGCTTTAGGATTTAGGGTTCAGGGGTCTGAGATTTAGGGTTTAGGGCTTAGGGTGTTGCGGTTCAGGGATGTGCGGCTCAGGGTTCAGGGTCAAATTCTACCAGCCGTGCTTGTCAGCAGCTTCCAGAGCCTGCAACCCGCAGCCGCCACAAGGGAAGGGTATGTCCCGAAGCCCCAAATAGCTCCTAAGTCGTGATAAACCCTAAACCCTGAATCCCCCAGCCCCGAGGTCATCCCTAAACATCCCAGGACTTTCCTGACGCCTCAAAGACCACCAAACCCAATAGAAGCTGCTGGACACTAGCTTCTATTCTTCCAACGTCCAACTTCGCGATCGACCGGAGGGATCCATCGTGTTTTGCTGGAGGCGCCGCGGCACACGGCCTCCCAGACACAAACGCCCTTGACCCTGCATCTAAACCCTAAACCCTAACAAGCCCTGAACACTTAATAGCCAGAAAAAAGGCGACCAACTAGTGAACCCATTTCTCAACCCTGAACCCTATTCTCATATAAGCCGCCATGGCTGAGCCAACGGTGGAAGAGGATTCCCCAGAGTGCGTACAGTCACCAAGGCCTCGCCGGTTCAGGGATTTGGGGTCTAGAGTTTGGGCGTGAGGGTTCGGGGTTTGGGGTTGAGGGTTTGGGGAAAAGAATTTGGGGTTTAAGGTTTCGGGTTTAGGAACTAAGGTTTCGGGGTTTAGGGAAGACTCTCATAGGGTGTCTTTGCAAAATTGTATGGGGTGCGTGGGTGCCGTACACTAGCGGATAGAAGAGGGTTTTGAGGCAAAGAGTACACTTGGAGAGTCGGGGGAATTAGTAATTAGTTATTCTGTGCCATAACCCCCATTAGGATTAGGATCCCAATTCGGGCACTTATCACTCTACTTATTACATTACCTACTTACTAAGTCCTCCGACCCTCCAGGCAGGGTTTAGGGTGTATTGCTCTATACTTAGAAAGCAGGAACTGTAAGGAGTAGTTTTGCGGGTTGCAGAGGCGTCTATTCGGGTTCCGACATCCCTGGTATGAGAGGGGCCATTGTGAAGCATGCGCATGCGCTTTATTTTATGGAGCAGTTCGTGATCACGCGAATCTCCAGGGTTTGAAGCTACGTTCAGCATGTAGGGTTCACAGTTGTTTGGTTCGGGTTCAGGGTTAAGCGTTTGGGCGTAGGCTTTAGTGTTGCGCACGGCAGTTCAAAACCCGAAACCGCCCAAACCCTAAGCTTCAAATTAACTCCCAAGCCCTAAGCCGTCTTGGAAGCTCTTGCCTGCCAGCAAGCAGGTGGTTCAAAAGGTTGAGGTGAAAATCACCATCAGCTCACTCTTCCCGCATCTCGTCAGTACCAGAGCCATGGAGCCTTTTGTGATGATGAAGCGCGGCAGCATGTTGCCGGCATCGGTTGTGGAGGAGACCGGGTTCAGGGTTGAAAGAAATCGGAGGACTCAGCTTTCTGCCAGATGGATAGGGTTTAGGGTTTAGGGTTTAGGATTTCGCCAGGTAATACTTCTCAAAGTACATGCCAGATATTCTCGCTTTAGTGCCGAGCATTTCAATCCCCAAGCCCTTGACTCAACAACTCATCCAGCAGCAGTGCTACGTGACACAGAACCCATATGGGGGTTTCCGAAAATAGGGGACCCTTATATAGCACCCTAAATGGTAGGATCCTTATTATAAGGACCCCAAAATAAGGTACCCCTATTTTTCGGAGAGTCCCATATTGCCCAACCCGGAAGCCCTGTGCCCTGAAGATGAGTTGATAAGACGAGACTCTAAACCATAAACCCTAACCGTAACCCCCTAGACCCTAAACCCTAAAGCCTAAACCCTAAACCTTAAACCCTAAACACTAAGCCCTAAACCCTAAACCCTAAACCCTCTTTCAGTTTGCAGGAGATCCTGACCTCCGCCGCCGCCGCGAGTGCAGAGGCACCCAATCGAGCCCTCAAGCGACGCGTCCGTCAAAGGCTGCACAAGAAGCTCGGGTCCATGTTACGAGGATGCAGTCCAGATGTGAGGATAGGGCCTTAGGGCTTAGAGTTTTGGGATTGAAGGTTTAGGGTTTAGGGTTTCGGGATGTAAGCTTTAGGGTTTAGGGTTTTGGGATTTAGAGCTCGGTGATTTCAGAAGTTTGACTTGAATGACCGTTAAGTGCTGGCAGAGAATGTGAAGTTGCAGGGCTCTGCCTTCGCAGAACTTGGGTTGGTGCTCGACTCGTGTCTTGCTGCTCAGGGTTTAAGACTTAAGGGTTCAGGGTTTTGAGTTGGGGCTCTTGGGATGGATTTGGAGAGGACGTCATCTATATTTGACGCACGAGTCTGGATAGCAGTGTCTACAGATGCATCGGTCGCCCATGGGCCAGAGTTCAGGAAGGTGTTCCCAATTTGCATCGTTGTTTCAATCCGAAGCATTCGATTCTGTATGCAGATTGATGCCCAGCTTTCATATGTGAACTTTTTCGAGTCCTGTATAGATCGAGCTTGACATACCCCGAATGTCACCTTCCACGTAGATAGGTGCACCCCGCACCAAGCCCTAGCCGTGACACCCTGAACCCTAAGCCTTGAATCCGAAGTCCCAAGCCCTAAACCCCAGACCCTAAACCCTACTAAACCACGACACGCATCGAGAAGTGTCCTAAACCCACCCTCCTTTGTCCTAACCGACACAGAGACGAACAAAAACCTCACAACAAAGAACAGACTTCAAGTCATAATCCTAGGGGCAGAGTAAGTAACCGTTAACTTTGGGGCTTACATAGACATGATCATACTCGAATTTAAAAAATTAACCTTTTTTGGGCTGGGGTACTCAGCCCCTAACCCTTAGCATCAAAATAGCCCAAAAGCCTTATATAATAGGGTCTTTGGGTCCAAAAGCCTTAAAATATGAGCCCTTTGAGGGTAAGGGTAAGTAATATGTCCCCCTCAGAATGTAAGGAACATTGACGGGACAGACCTTTCCATCATCATATGGATCCCCTTCACAATGCAAGGTACTATAGGGGCCTTAATAATTAGAGTTGGGTTTGGGGTATAGTATACTATAATAATTGCTAATAATAACAAATAATAGTAATAATAATAATAGTAATAGTAATAATAGTAATAATAATAAGCACTCAAGACAACCGGCATTTGTTTGAGGTGACATGGTGAGTTGCNNCCCCCCCCCCAACCAAAAAAAAAGAAAACAAAAAACAACACCCATTCTAATTATTAAGCCCCTACATTTCATACTGTAATTCGGTTTTGGAGTCTCTAGGCATCCTAAACCCTAAACCGTAAACCCCGAGACCTAAACCCAAAGCCCGAACCCCTAAAACCTATAGTGCCCTGATGGATCCCTTAAAGGAACCCTCAAAGGAACCTAGGAACACGACCCCAATACAGCTCCTGAGGTTAACCTCCGAGGAGTTTGAGAAAGCTATCGACCGCTACAAGGTGTTTAGGGCTCAGGGCTCTTGGGTTTAGGGTTTTAGGGTTTAGGGCTCAGCGCTCTTGGGTTTAGGGTTTAGGGTTCCTTTAAGGTATCCATAAGGGCACTACCGGTGTTAGGGGTTCGGGTTTTGGGTTTAGGTCTCAGGGTTTAGGGTTTAGGGTTTGCATTCTAAGGGGGGTATATTGCTTCGGTTCGGGGTTTGCGCAAGGTTTAGGGTCTATCGTTTTTTTGGTTTAGGGTTCCTAGCTTCCTTTGAGTGTTCCTTCAAGGGATCCATACTGTAGCGGCGCTCTAGGGATTGGGTTTTGGGGCCTGGAGGTTTTGGAGGTTTGGGGTTTGGGGTTTAGGGTTTGGGGTTTAGGGCTTGGGGTTTAGGGTTTAGGGTTTAGGGTTTAGGGGTTAGGGGTTAGGGTTTAGGGTTTAAGGTTTAGGGTTCGGTCGGACATTCGTCAGTCAGTGTCGCGTTTGTCAGGCCGGTTGAGGGGGTGGCATTTGGGGTTTAGGATTTTGGGGCAGAGGATTTCGGGGCTTAGGATTTTTGGGCTTGGGGTTTTTGGGTTTCGGGTTTAGGGGCCTTTTATAGGACACACGAACACATTAAAAGAGCCCTGAGAGAACCGCTTCCGCGGATTCCTTAAGCATAAGGCCTTTGAAAAGTTTAGGGTTTAGGGTTTAGGGTCGAACTTTGTGGTTGAATTAGCAGAGCCTTTAACCACACGCTTTTTTCAACGCCTACAGGACTTAAAGCTTGGGTGCTGCCGCCAATCCGCAACAGTTTTATAATCGTTCAAACGTTATACATAATAATATGTAGCCCTCAATCTGGCCCCTCAACTAGACTGCTTTGGAGTGGGGGCACCCTAAACCCTATTCTTGGCCTAAACCCTAAACCCTAAAGCTCTAAACCCCAAAACCTCAAACCCTAAAGCCCTAAACCCTAAAGCCCTAAAGCCCTAAAGCCCTAAAATCCTAAACCCTAAACCCTAAACCCCAAAGCCCTAAAGCCCTAAAATCCTAAACCCTAAACCCTAAGTGCACTGCCCAACTTAAAGCCTCTTCCCGGCAGAAGGTCCTGGAAGAGGAGCAAACCGGAGAGGCCTCTGGGGCAGCTTGTCGGTTCTTGTTAAGGGTTCAGGGCTTCGGATGTAGGCTTTTGGGGTTTTGAGTTTAGGACTTAGGGTTTAGGGTTTAGGGTGTAGGGTTTGGGGTTTAGGGTGTAGGGTTTTAGGGCAAAGGGTTTAGGGTTTAGGGCAAGTTTAGGGTTTAGGGTGCAGGGTTTAGGGTGAAGGGCATAGGGTTTAGGGAACTTAATTTATAGAGTATGAATAGAGGTCAGTAGTGTATGATAGGATTCTCCTTATTATGGCAATTTGGGCAGCGACGCCAGAACAGGGATCTATAGCTGATTGTGGTAACTCTAAACCCCCTTAAACTCTGCACCCCCAAGCCCTAAAACCCTGAACCCTAACACCCTAAGCCCGAAACCCTAAACCCTAAACCCCAAACCCTAAAACCCTAAACCCCAAACCCTATAACTGAAACCCTAAATCATATACCTGGTAACTTAAGTTAAGCTCCTTAACATAGACCCTCAGACCCTAAACCCCCACACCCTATAATTTAACTTAAGTTCCTTAACATACAGTAGAAGCCCAAAAGTTGGAAACCCAACAGCCTCAATCCTTATGAGTAATGTATAGGGAATCCCAGCATTAATTATCCTTAGTACAATTTCCAACTTTTCGGGGGGTTTTCTATAGTTAAGTTCCTTAACATAAGCTCTAAAACCCTAAACCATAAACCCTGAAGCCCTGAAGCCCTAAACCCTAAACCTTAAACCTATAACTTAAGTTAAGTTTCTCATCATCAACCCAGGCTTCGGCTTCGCCCTGCGCATCGTTGCCGACACCATGCCAGGGAAGTTCTTCTCCGGGCATGTCTCAAGGCAACTGAGGGATTAGAGTCTAGGGCTTAGAGTGGAGTTTAGGGTTTAAGGTTTCGAGGGTATAGGGTTTGGAGTGGGGTTTAGGGTTTAGGGTTTAGAGTGGAATTTAGGATTTAGGGCTTAGAGTTTAGAGTGGGGTTTAGGGTTCAGGGATTAGAGTTTAGGGTCTAGGGCTTAGAGTTTAGGGTTTAGGGTTTAGAGGGCGGTTTAGGGTTTAGGGGTTGGGAGTTAGGGCTTCTGGAAGTTTGGTGTGGGGTTGAGGGCTTGGGTCTTTTGGTTTAGGGTTTAGGGTTCCTGCGAGCATGTCCCAAGCCAAGGTTGTAGGAGGAATAAGGTGCTGTAAGGGCTGCTATAAAGGGTAGAATGGGGGTGCTTCGTGTCGTTCTCCCAAGGCAACTCAGCGTGTCCAACGAACCCGGCGAGCAGCACTTCTCCGACGTTCATCGCGGTGCCGATGATGATGCCCATGACCACCATGCAGATGCAAGTTCAGCAGCCCCGACGCTTCCTGCCCACAGCTCCTTCTCAGCCTTTGCAGTTGCAGATGAGGCCCATGCATCCCCTGATGCAGAGCTCCCAGCCTGGTCCTGCACCAGTGCTGCAGACTCCCGGTATCCAGGCCGTCTCAGACCAGAGCACGGTGGCCCCAAAGGCGCAGAATGGGCCTCATGAGAGATCAGAGAGCACCTCGCAGACTACCGAGTCGGCTATTGATGACGACGACCTAGAGAGCATCAGCGAGCTGAGCACGGAGTCTAGGCGATACAGTAGCACCCTTTTGCCCCCTGCTAATCACTTTTGTGTATGTTTCCTTGTAAAGACTGAGAAGAGCAAAACCGGGGGCCACTTTAAGGAGTGGGCTCGGGCAGTTTCCTACGGTTCTTCGGTGTGTCCGGTGGAGCGGACCTTCATCCAGTTCCACACTCGCATAGCTGGAAGGCACCGACGATCGAGGTCCGTCTAGGGCCCTCTCGGGACATCCCGGCAGCACCTGACCATCCGAGGTCACCTGCGCCGCGGAAGTTTGATTTTTACAAGGGATTAGGCTTTCCAGTTTTGTTCTGCGTTGCAGCTTTTTCAATCGCGTATCAAGACTTGAATTGGCTGCCTTCATACCTTGTGATTGGCGCCAGAATTACAGCATGACAAAAGTTGTTTAAAGTCCGTTCCGCTGTTCTTTCCGGAAATGGCTAGGCTGCCCGGTGCCACGAAAAGTCACCCATATAGGGGCCCAAAATAGTTAAAATAGCTAGCAATATAAGCCTTGGGGTTCCCCCCCCCCATCATCTTTACAGTATGATGGACCCCCTAAACCCTAAACCGGACCCCACAGCCCCGTCCGAATCAGTGAGGCCCCTATATGAAGTGTTTTTGGAGGGCCATCCCAGTCTCCGGAGAGCTCCTAATTCGTCGGTTGAAACGATAAGGCCACCTGATCTGATGAGCTGGTCTAAGCTTCGGGGCCTAGGTGAAGAGGGTTGAGGGTTTAGGGTTTACGGGTTTGGGGGTTTAGGGTTTTAGGGTTTAGGGTTTAGGGGTTTAGGGTTTAGGGTTTGGGGGTTTAGGGTTTGGGGGTTGAGGGTTTTAGGTTTAGGGTGGACGTTTTGGGGTTTAGGTGTTGAGGTGCTTAGGGTTTTAGGGTCAGTTTCGGACTCCGAATCTGGTCCTGGAAGCTGTAGTCAACCCCCAAGCCCAAAACCCTAAGCCCTACTCCTTAAACCCTAGACCCGAAACAGCTACACCCTAAAACCCTAAACCCGAATCCTTAAACCCTACAGCCTAAAACCCGAAACCCGAATCCTTAAACCCTAAACCCTACAACCCTAAACCCGAATCCTTAAACCCTAAACCCGTAGTCTTGCAACCGGAGCCTGTGGTGACCCACGACTTTTCATGCTCTTCACCGCAGCAAGCCGCAAGCGCGAATTGGCAGCTTGCACCATTTCGTTTAAGTCTCTGAGTTCTGTGCAGGGTTTAGGGTTTAGGGTGTAGGGTTGTTGTCCGTTTAGGGTTGAGGCTTTAGGCCTTAGGAGCACTGTACCTTATCTGTTTTGGGTCTTGTTTCCCTGCAGGAACCACTTTGGAATGAACGCTTAGACAAGTATTTCCTTGAGTACTACAGAACTCAGACCCGATATGAAACAGTTACACAGCATGGACACGCATCTGACGACTGGGAGATGTTGGCGTGCAGGGCTTGGAGCATAGTTTGTTGTAAACGTAAACCTTAAATTACCCTTATCCCTAAACCCTTACCTACCCTTAACCCTAAACCCTAAATTAACCTTAACCCTAAACCTTAAAATACCCTTAACCCTAAGCCCTCACCGCATGCGCGGGCCAGCCTTGATAGAACCCTGAGCCCTCGACAGCAAACCCTACACCCTCCACCGCAACGCTACCGGCCCTACCCCCAGACCCTACACCTCTGCAAAAGAAGCCTTAAAGCCTAAACCCTAAACCCTAAACCCCAAACCCTTAAAAACAAAAGACCCTAAGCCCGACACCCTCAACCCCGATCCCGGAGCCTACCTCTGAGCATGACGCCCTATCCCACGTCCTAAAACGCGAAGCTTACACCCGTCTTGAGCCATTCGGTTTAGGGCTTTAGGGGTGTAGGGGTTTAGGGGTTTATGGTTTGGTGTTTAGTGTAGGGCTGTAGGGGTTTTTTGTTCAGGGGTTTAGGGTTTAGGGGTTTAGGGGTTTAGGGTTTATGGTTTCTCCCATCGCTGGGTCGTATCCTGATTTTCTGGCCGAATCTCTTTGTCTCCTCCGAGGACGCAGTTGGAGTTGGCACAATGGCTGGGAACCAATAAAAAGGCTTGAACATTTAGACTAGGGTTTTCGGGGTACCTTATTGTATAAGTTTGTAAGGAACCCTCAGGAATAAGGTTGGTAGTTATTTAGGCTCCTATATTACCTACTTTGTTTACGGGTCTCGAAGGGTTTATCGTACAGCCCTGCTCAATGGTCGTATGAGGTTTACATAGAAATCAATAGACCTGTCTTACCGAAAACGCTACATTCCGACCCTATCACTGCACCCAGCGGTATCCGTAATAGAAAATTACCTTCGATCTTCTACTTGGAGGGTCGGGGGACTTGGTAAGTAGGGAGCAAGTAGAGTTTATAAGTACCCCAAAAGGGATCCTAATTGGGATTATGATATTTGTAAGCCTTTAAAATAACTACTTACTAAGTCCCCCGACCCTCCAAAAGTGAAGGTTTTTGGGTTTAGGGTTTAGGGCAAAACAGAGGGTAGTTGGGTGAAGGCCGGTATGACATGAGGGTCAGCCGTACCATGGGGGAGTTTCGAGGGCCTAGGGTTCCGTCTTGGTGCTTCGAATACGCAGCCCATCATTCAGATAGCTCTCTAAATTAGGGTCCCTTTGGGGGTCCTTCGAATAAGGGTGCCGCACGATATATGGGGGACCTAAAAAGGGACCCTATTTCGGAGAATGACGCATTTAGATTCTTTATTCAGGTTCCGTGTTGCTTGCAAAAGGCAGAGGAACAGCAGCACTGTAGTAGCAACTGTGTCCGCACTGGTCCAGTGGTGGCAGTCGTCGTGGCCATCGTAGCAGTAGCAGTAGCAGTAGAAGTAGCAGTAGCAGTAGAAGTAGCAGTAGCAGTATAGTAGCAGTAGTCGTTATTTTTGTACTTGTATTGTTTATAATAAATATATTTTATACTAGTAATACAATTATTGTTATGATTGTTACTAGTAGTAGTTGTGGTAGTAGTA